GAAACAATGGTAAATGAGTTTACGGTCTCAATCACTAGTTTCTACAATAAATAAAAAATAAAGTCTTCTTCAACACAGCATGATGTTCATTTAGTAAATTATGGTCCCATTTAGAGGAAAATAGACCATAAAGCAGAGTATGCTTCAGGGTGGGATTGACAAGTTGTTACCATGGCGATCTGTCAATCAGGCTACAGTGACTCGTACCCACAGCAGCTGTGTAAATTTAACCAGCGCTGTTGAAAAAGCTTATTAGGAGTTGGCCGTTCACTTTTTCTGGTGAGTACATTTAGTTTTAAGACTGTTCGCCAGGCAAAATTATCATCACGGTTAAAATGACAGTCAAAGGGGACCTATTATACTGCAGCCCTGTATTGTAGTTCTGTCACTCAGCATCTGTCTGAAACAAGCTGTCAATGCTTGAGACCCAGCCCCACCCAAAGTCCACTGTCTTCTGATTGGCCATTGTCTAATATGTTGACCAGGTTGCTGCAGATGCCGGAATGACATCATACCGAGCCATTAATAGAAAAAACTGTTCAAAACAGAGAGTTCCGATCAGGGCGTATCTGAGGTTTTGGCTCACAGGGATTTCTTTTTAATAGTTTTACCTCATCATTTGAAACTTTGGTCATGTTTAATATGAACATCTGACACTGTAACATTATAGAAACGCTAGAAAATATGAAAAAGCATAATAGGTCCCCTTTAACGTGAATTACAGATGCATCTAGCTAAGCAAGCTAGCTAGCTCCACACAGGCCCGTTAGCTCCACCGTCGTTGCAAAAAAATGAAGAGCTGCATGCGACAGGCTGCAAACCTCCACCTTCTATGCCAGGCAACCAATTCCTTTCACTTCCGCTGTTTGCAGACTCGTATTGTGTGCAGCATAAAGTCAGATCATGACTGCTCACATAATTATGGAAAATACCAATTACGGCCTGACAATAGTTTAGCTGCCCCAGACTTCTGTGCCCTGTGGTATTAAAAGGCATCTCCTGTTACCACCAGTAGCCTAACTAACGTTACAGGCGTCTCATGCACAATAACGGCGCAGCTGCAAAACAGCGTAGAAACCGGGTGATTAATATATCATGCCAATCAGAGTCACATTAAGGCTACAATTACAGGTTTAACCATCACTCCTCGAACTACCTCCTTGCCTGCGGTCTGAGAGCATTTTCTAGTTTAGTAGGCCTATGTAGATTTATCATTATGGATTTATGCCTATGTTTTTTAGGAATCCAGTCCAGTCCCCACAGTGTAGAAAAATGTGTGCCCTTGAACAAATGTAGTTGAGGACCCCTGATGTAGAGGTCAGTTAAATAATACTTGCACCATTCCATTGGTAGTTAAAAATAAGTTTTCATAGTTTGGTAAGGTGCTTTGCTCAAATTAGCCAAAAAGATAGGTGAATGACAATTTTGGTTGGCTTCAATAACTTGCTGGTCCCAATAAAATTACCACTTGTTTGAATGTAAATAGCCTAGTGATATGACTTCATATACAGTCCAGTTATCCAACGAAGGTTAAAATCAAGGGCAACTGGACTTGGATGAAGATACTGGAAGACGTTTCGTCCCTCATCCAAAGGACTTCTTCAGTTCAGAACTGAAGAAGTCCTTTGTTTGAAGAAGTTTGTTTCATTCAATTCATAACTAATTTAGCCATGCTACACCGCTTATCTTTCTTTACATTCTGAGTAATGTTGAAATGTTTTAACTTAAAAAAGAGAAAGCTGTGTGGATCGCTGGTGTGTGTCGCATTGAACATTACATCGCGGCAGTTGTGTGTGGCGTTGCTATGACGACAAGCTACTTACTATCTCTGGTTACTGATCTGCAATGGAAAACGGAGCAGAGCCGAGTAGAGTCAGGCAAGGCAGCATAACGTTAGATCGTCAGAACACCGGCGACAGTTCAGTTTACTCCTGATGGTAAGATGTGGAACAATGATGTTGTGTGGTTGTGGACTTGAGTGTAACTTATACCATCTGCTAGGTTGTGGTCTCAGTCTGAAGCTTTGATTTGGATCACACTACCTTGTTTCTTATGACCCACCCTTCTCTGCTTCTGATTGGCTAGTAGTCCTTACCTGGGAACTGCGCATGTGCAACTCCCAACCAAGATTTTGTACAAGTAAGATGCATCACTCTGTAGCTCAAGAGCGGAGCGTACAACACACAGGGTGAGAAGAGGAGCTGCAGCAATGTGCAGTATGAGAAAAATATGGTGTTTTTTGAAAATGAAACCATGTAAACCTGTTCTGGTACAACCCCTAAATAAGATGTTGAACCTGAAAATGAGCATAATACCACATCTTTAACATAAAAGGTCTGTAAAATTGTTTTGCGCCAATTGTAACAAAGTAAAAAACTAAAATCAAAAGCACGATATTGCTTTGTTCCCTTATTAAATCGCAAAAGACTGCAATTTAATATAACAAGTAGGCCTATAATAATTATAAATAAGATATTGAATCAATATAAATGTTATTTTTGGAGGTTAAAAAACTATAACTTTTACTCTGAGTACATTTTAAATGAGCCACTTTATACTTTTACTTGAGTAGATTTTCATAGTAATTAATTCAAGTAATTGCACTTCAGTAAAAAGTTCAAAGTAACAGTACTTTTACTTCAGTAGAATATTTCTGTACTCTTTCCACCTCTGGTACATGGTAACAAAAAGCTAATTTCAAACCAGTGCTTTACTACATTTGGTCGCACCATTAAAATTTAAGAGTGCCTTAGCTGGTAAAAAGTTTTGTAGTGTGTAAATTGGTTGCTAAGAAACATCTGTAGGACTGTGATGTCCAATCAAAAGCAATCAACTACGTTTACAGGAAGTCAAAGCATCCAGAGCTCTAACCTAACTTAAAACAGTTTAGGAAGGGCAATGATATGCTCTAGGTATTACTTTGTTTTACTTACATATGCATTGATGGAAAATTGGGTGTTAGTATTCATATAGTTTGAAATGAGCAGGAAATACCCAATTATGCTAACCTGTCTGATATTATTAGTTCTTTAGTGCAACGTTATTGGCTATTTATTATATTTCAAAATCTTTCCACTCTACGTCACCATTAAGAGATAAATGGTATCATTATTAAAAAGACTTTTGTCACATATAATATTCCAAATTTGAGACTTTCTTCACTTTAAACGGGTCAAATATTAGCAGCTAGCATTCATTTTGTCTGTTCATTCTGTTAGCTAGCCAACCTGGCAGTAACTGGGTGTACTATTAATCTTTAGTAAAAATTCATCTCTACATAAGAAAATAGTGTAACCATTTTAATTTAATAATGCATAGCTCCACTTAGTAAAAACTACAACTAGGATATTGCATCCAGCAACTCAGTTGCCTCAGTTCATTGGAGGATAAAATTATGGCAACTTCTGTGTTTCTTTAAATGTCGCTCTCCTACTACACGTAGGAGGTAACTGTAATGTGAGTACAGGCCCTGTTCAAAGCAGCACTTAAACACCATGGTTTGGCTCTGGGACATCCTGTAGTGAATGTGTGATAGAAAAATGCACCGGCACAGTGGGTTACAGTCTTGACATGGCACAGCTAAAGCAGACTATATCATGCTCACACAAGATAGTTTTTTTATGTGTGTATCACTGTGCTGAGAGGAGAAGGGCAGACGGGGCCACTGTGCTGAGACACAACCAGTGATGTGATGCCACAAAAAAAATAAAATAAAAAACAAAACGCCAGCCAACGCCGGCCATAAAGCAGACTAATGTGTCCAGAGTGGCTTCAAAAAAGCGAGGCAGACAGCAAAAACAGACCAGAGACCCTTATCCATCATAGCAAACAGGCAACAAAACAACTTTACACCATCTGTAGAACGAGTCTGCCCTGACACCAGGTAGCTAGAGCTTACGTCAAAGACAATGACCGAAAACGCTGTGTCATTCTAAAGGGTAAAGGGACCTTAAAAGAACTTTTTAAACTTTTTTTCCCACAGCTAAGCATTCTGATGAATCAGTCTATGAAGTTAAATCTGTAGAGTTTAATTTATATCTTTGTTAATTGCCTCTTAATTAAAATGACACTAGATTGTTTTGCTGCTCCCAGAATTCTGTGACTCATAGTATTAAACTACAGGATTTACAGGTGTCGCCAACCAGGACTGAAATCTTAAATGGTCATTTTAAACAGACAGATTTTGCTTTTCTCATTGTTCCACAAGAATATTATATGTATTAGATATCTTTCCTAAAGTAACGCTTTTTTATCTAAAAAGAACGTTTTTACTAGCTGAAACTTGACTTCCATTGCCTTGGCAAAACTTAAATTAATTTCACCCGTAGCGTAAATGCACAGAAAGGTATTTAAACTTCAGAAAGTTTGCGTCTGAGTTTTATTTGTCATTATTGTCCCTTAAGCTTTCACATTATCTGAAAGCAGCCAGGCATAAGCAGATAAGCAGACTCCAACACACATAAAACACACACACAATATGAATATTCATCTGCGGCATGTTGACACCAAGATAACGCCAGGTCAGGTCTGTCGGATTGTCTCCTGGCCTTATCCCGCGCAGACAACAGTGTTCTTCACCTAATGATGGAGGCGGAACAGAATACCTGTTTGATTTTAACCCTGCCTGACAAAACCTTTCAGCATAATGGGGGGTGCTTACCTTGCAGGCTCAGACTGCTGGACCCTTGGGTTGGGTGTTCACAACCTTAAGTGCTTTAAATGAGGTTTCAAAATATCAAAGCAAGACACATAGAATTGCTCGGGAACGACAGCTTGAATACAGAGTGCCACCTAAAACGTAGCTCTTTAACCAGGGGTTGGGTAAACTAAACTTAAAGGAAAAGGGAGGAATAGTCAGCTCTGCTGAGTGGTACTAGATACAATTCAGCTGTAAAGAGTGCATTTGGTAGAAGTGAGCCCATCACACTCAACAAAACATCACAAGGAGTCCTATTTCTAGACAACTTTAATGGATATCTGTGTGATCTGAATGCTCTTACTTGATGTTGTCCAGGCAACCAGAGTCTGGTTTCAAGATGGCTGTGTGATGGAACATCTTGTAGAGAGCAATGCCCAGGAAGATCACGTTGAGCTGAGAGATTCGCAGAGGCAGAGGGACAGCAAGAGAGAGAGAGAGAGAGAGAGAGAGAGAGAGAGGAATGAAGCTTGTATGTTTCCTGTTTCAATTATATTCATTTTAAATCAGAGCACTTTGTAGCACAAAGCTGGAACGCTGCAGCCAGACGTGGTTTCCCACTTTGCCAAACAGAGCGCAAAATCCTATGAAACCTCTATGGTGCTACAACAGACTAAACAAGGAACGGTGAGACAAGACAGCTGCATACTTGTATGAGGGAGCCTTTCCATCTGACTTATTCACACTTGTCTCATCATATTCACACTTAGAGGCAACTGCAGGGAATAACTGCCACTGCTGCTGCATTGGTTTTCTTTTACAGTTTCTACATCCAGAACAAAAAATTAAGCATTTGTTGAAATTTTTTGTAAAATGTTTGAAGAACTTTCAGCATTTCTAACATCATGCTCCCTGCTAACACCCTTTCATGGGTGGGATGTCATTTTATTAACACGTTCATGTGCCCTGCGTGCCATAAAAACAGGGCACTTTTTAGTTCACCTTCCTGCTTTGTGCAAGTGCTCCTGGAGTACTCTACTGTTTTCTTTACACCAGATTTCTTATTGAAACAACAGACTTGAAAAATTGAAAACAAATCATAGTGGAGTCAAGCACATCTCAGTGAGTTGAACTTTTGCACCTACAGTATGTTTGCCAAACACACTGAAATTAGTGAGATAAACACAAAGTGGTCTTGTGTTTGACTGCTGGATATCAAAGAAACTTAGATTCAGCAGACCCACTCTGTCGTATCTCATTATTTTCTTTGTCTCGGTGAGTCAGTAATTACAAAAGTAGCAAATGGGTCAAATCTAGTCATGGCATAGGGGCCTCTTTCAGAGTGACTTCTCAGAAAACTACAACAATTAGAAAGCTTTCACATCACTGTTGTTTACATGTTACATTCAGCTAATATCAGGTGAGTATAAAAAAACCCTGTAACTATTCTTAACTGCCTGCAATGCATCTTTGCCCAAAGTCTCACCAAATTCCCAGGGTAGAATTGGATCTGAGTTCAAGCTATCTTTCCAACATAGATATTCTTGTTTGTAAATGTAAGAGAGAAATGAGTGAGTCATGAGTAATACAGAGGTGCATTGTGAATGATTGCTGGGCAGTAGCAGCTGTGTTAAGGAGGAATTCCAAATTTGGGTCCTTTGGGACAAGAAATTGTCACTATTTTTTAGTTGTTAGGGATATTCATAAGTGTATTTACTGATTCTTGAATATGTATTATGATTGCTGACTGGTGTCTTGGAAAATCAGAAGCACAACTTTTGCGCCACAGCAACATTTACTGCTAGGCATTAGCTTAAATACTTAAATAAACACCAGCCTGACACAAGTTTGAAAGCAGTTGGATCAATAAAAGAGCTGGGTTTTTTTCTGTTATGGAAAATTAGGGCTGTCCTAGTTGGGAAAGACACAGAAAGTGTGTGTGTTCTCCTTGCACGACGCTTGTGTAGCAGTGCTGTCCGTGTGTGCCTGCGAGGAGCAGATGGAAAAAGGTAGTGGAGTACGGAACAGGAACAAAATCAATCATAATCGCCGTGCGGATTACTCCAACACTGCATACTGAGCAGAGTTCACTCTCTTTCTCTCTTTTCTCTCACTCTCCCCCTCCCCACATCCCCCAAAATTGTCTCAGCCGGTGACTGCAACGGGGTGACAAACTGCAATATATTCTCTACACCCCTCATTCGTTTTTCTGGACGGCTCCGTGCCCGGCGGTGGCATATATGCTCAACAGGGCAGAGAAAAGAGGGAGGATAGGAGCTAGAAAAAGGGATCTCGGTGGACCATTTAAGCGACGACCCGCAGGCTAAGCAGGGTTAATGAGCAGAAGGGTGTGTGTGTGTGTGTGAGAAGGGGGTTACGCTTACCATAATTATCAAGGTTGCTGGTCCTATGAAACTCCAAATGAAGTAGGTGTCCAGGCGAAGCCAGCAACTGCAATGACAGATAGAGTGAGAGGAAAAGGGGGGTATGAAGTAAGAGAGAAGGTGGTGAATATGAGTAGAAAAAGTGAGGAGGGGGGATGAGGGAGAAAGGTTTGAGGTTATAGCTTCATACTCCTGCTCAGAGGATACAGTAAAAATCAAGTGGGCGGCTGGAGTGACACAAACTTCAAATGAATAGACACTTGAAAACAAAGGGCTTGTATAGTTATGGCCATCAGTAAGAATTTGGAGGAAAGGGAGATTTCAGTGTCAGAGACCGCAATAATGATGGGCTTTCGTAGACAAAACATGGGTGTACCCTACAGGCTGAGAGTGACTAGACTTTAGTTCGATTCTGTTTCAATTTGTCTGGTTAAGGTAGCAAATTACCATTACAGATGATAATTTATGGATGATTCAATTAGTTTTCAATTCGGTCCTAACTGTATCACTCGAAAAGGAATTAGACTGACCTTGACCCTGACACTCACCAAAGTGTCTTACATGTTCATGTTAACGGTGGTGACTCTGTTAGACTGCCATAATTACGTCAATAATTAAATACCGCGCTCTCCTGACCTCACACTTCATATGAAAACATTATAGATGGTCAGTTCTTCTTCGCTGCGTAAAACCGAATACAGACCAGAAGCAACAGGGCCGGTGGAAGGTGACAGTACTCCTTTGAAATGGGGAGAAAAAAATAAAAAAATACAACTTGATTCATGACCTGTGGTTGAATTATTAATCTTTTAATCTCCGCTGCTGCAGCGGATGGACGCCTCCATTTTTGGCCACTGGAAAATTACAGTTCATACAGCCACACTGTCATTCAGGCTGACAGAGAAGGAAAATGGAAGAGGCAGAGAATAAGCTATAATTCAATAGCATTTTAGGGCAAACTGCAGTGCATGGGACACTTTAGAGGAACACACGACTGGGCTTTTGTAAGCGACTGTGGTAAAAAAGACAAAAATAGAAAAACAACAACAACAAAAAATATAGCTGCGAGCAGCAATTATCGGGATCCAAGCAAGTCACGAAAAATGCAACATTTGACATTTTCAGAGGAGAAGAACAGACGCAGAAGAGATTAAGGTGATGAAAGAATTTGGATTTTGAGATAATTGGGGAGACGCAAACTTGATTTTTACAGCATCACCTTGAGAACAGAGTGTCAATATATGTACCTGACTACTGGGTGAAATGTTCAACCCACCTGCGACATTTTGTATTTCCAAGTTTTAAAGTTTAAGCTGCACACAACACTTTTAGGCAGAAAAAATTAGTGTCACTCGACCCAAATAAAATAGAAAACTCACTATGATCTGAACACCCCTGACCTGGGGATTTGGGGAACCCTGGAACTTCAGATCTCCAGAGTAGATGACTTACTGGCTGAGCTACTGGTGAGAGGCTATTCCCACACACCTTCATACACCTTCACATATATAAATATACACACACACATTATATATATATAAGTACTGACACATTATCTAAATAGTACAATAGTACTAATAGTACAAATAAATGAAGCACACGCAATCTACAGTATAATTTCTAACCTAAACAGAAAACCCTAACAGCTAACAACCCTAATCCTACTACCCAGTGGTCCCAAGAAATTATCATTATATCAGTCTCTAGCTCTATCATTCTTAGTTAAATAGGTGAAATACAATAAATGGAGGTAAGATACAATTGATGGACAGCTAAGAAAATGGAAGATAGTGTAGGCCCCCCTTGGAGGCCCCCTTTACAGCCATAAACAACAGGTCCCTAAAGCAGTTATATTAAAATCTAAACCTTTATTAATCAAAAAATAGGTATTAAAACAATATGAAGCACAAAGAGACAGGGTGGCTGAGATATCAATGAGCCCATAAAACACACACTAGCAGACATGCAGGAAATATAATGACCAGCAGACACGTTTACCCAGTGCTAGGGGAGCTCACAATCAATGTACTAGGGGCAAGTTACACATGCAAGATGAGCTCTAAGTCAGACGAGCTTTAAGCCAGACCATCAAAACAGAACAAAACAAGGAAACGAAAGCCACTAAGACAGTGACTCCGTTCCCCCGGCTTCATATTCACTCCAAATGTAGGCTTAGGTCCTATAAAATAAACAAAATAACCAAACAAAAACTAAGGACATTTACTCTTTCATTTTAGTTAGTTTTGCAAACCTACAATACAGTTTTAGTTAGTTATCCTTTTTTGTGAAGCCTCATTTTTATTTTTATTTCAGTTTATGACTATGTTTTCTCACATCTAGGTTAATTAACGATAATAACTTGCTGCAGACTCACCGTTTCACCGATTTAAAAACCCTTTGCTACATTTGATATCGGCCATCCAGAGAATATCTGTGTTGATTTTGGTAGCGCTTTTGATAACTTTTGATCAGCGACGTCCGTAGATGATCCTGCCAAAGTTTCAGGTCGATTAGCGAAAGCGTCTGGGACGAGTTCGCAAAAATAGGTTTAGTGCCATGAGGTATATGAGTGCTATTTTTTTTGCCTGAGAAGTAGGTGGAATTTGCTACCCACCTGCCAATTTTGAGTTTTCGTCCAGCAGTTTTTGCTGCCCAAACACTTTTAGCGGTGAGAAAGAAAGAAAGAATAGGGCTTTGCTGCTTGGATCCCTAATAAATATAAATTTTTTGAAAAATACGGCACACATAAATAAGGTGCCTTTTACCAGCAGTACTCCCTTCACACTGTAGCAATAAAATATTTCTTGTAAATCTCAACTTAAACATTAATGTAACCAAATCAAATATAAAACCAAAGCTATTTGCCACTGCTAGGGCATTACCTTTTATCTGGCTTATTAAAACAAGTTAGAGTCCAGTTTTCTTTTTTTTCCTGAACAGGTATCAGCAGAAACATTTTTCTTTTATCAGGGAGCAGCATAAACTGTCTATGTTCAGTACCAAGTGTCCCTGTACATGCACACGCCCGCCTGCTGCCGGAGTTGACTGTCTTGAACTTTTTGTATGCGACACGCAGCACAATCAATGGAAGAGAGACTGATCCTCGCTGTTTGTGAGTTTCCAGAATCTAGTACTGTTTACTAAATAGTTATCAGGACATCAGCAGGAGGGAATTTGCATGGCAGAGCATCCCCGCAAAACTGAATGATGAAGGCCTATCAGGTAAACTTATGTAGCCTATAATTTTAATTTAAGTTAAATAGGCTACAGCTGTGTAGCGCACAGAAGCTGTTGCCATGGTTACTCGTGGAGCACTTGTCTCCCTTTCTGTTTACCTGAGAAAACCTGTGGGGCCAAGCAACTATGTTGCGATTTTAACAACGTTCCTAAGATCGACATCTTCCCCAATACTAATCAGCATGCAGTGTGCAGCTCTCCACTTCACTATGACATTTGATCTCTTGTCTTGCTTTTGTCTACTTCTCCCACAAGCTGCATCCAACGTAGTCTGCCAAAGCCTTCCTCCACTGCTTGTTTGGGTGGGTGATTTGCAGGCTGATCAACATCCCACCTTTCCTGTGACCCATGATTTGACTGTATGTGTATTCAGAGCCAGTGAGCAATAATTGTCAGCTTTAATTAATGCGTTAACGCGATAATAACGGGTTCACGTGCCCAGCCCAGCCCTTCAATGTGAAAACAAAGCTTTGATCGCTGATATGATGAATGGTATTTTGGTCCCATTCTCTTGGAGGAGAAACAAAATGAGGCATCTCCACTATTTGCAGCAATGTAGCCTACAAATTGAACATTCAGACTAAAAACCTCTACTGCGACAGACAAGTTTTTATATGTTTCACTTTCTGTCACCAAAGAACTCGCTGACAAACAAGAGATAAATACTGCATAAGACATGGCAGGACAAAAATGGACTGTTCCTTTGTTGTTTCTGGGGCTTGATATGTCTCTCCCTCACAGATATCAATGGATGAGAGGAGGCAACGCAGAAAAACACACGAAGTACACAAAAGTGCAAACAAAAGATGCCCAAAATGCACAGAACTCTGGCAGCTCATCAAAGCACACGCTCCGAACGTCGCTGCTATAAATTATGCTGAAGGTTCTATTGTTTGTTTTGCCTTCTTCTTCTTCAGATCATGGAAAGATTTAAAGACGCGGTGGGCGGTGGGAGCTGCAGGCGTACTTTTTTTTTTGCCTTCTCTACCTCCCCTTCTCCCCTGGTGTCATGGTTGTGTTTGGGATTTGGAGCACATCTAGTTTTATCTTCCCTCCTTTGTGCACTATTCCTTTAGTAACCAAGCAATAAAAACCACAACCGTGTGCCAGTCAAAACACAAGCCATGCTCGTGCCAACAGCTTGTGCTGAGTATTCTGGCATTCGTGCCACCAATCTGCAGGGATCTGACACACGCTGTCCGTTGAGCCAAGGCCGCTTTATCGGCAAAGACATCTTCTTGCAACAGAGATAGTCATTTCACTGGCGAGCTGATGACCAAGTGAGTGAGTGAAGCAATGTAAAACATTTGGGCCAAGGAGAGATCTCTAGCGGCTTCTTTATTCAGTGTGAAGCCCCAAAGCACATTTTGCCTTACAGTATGTTTGTGCATGGTGTTGGGTAACACTACGTAATGGTAGCCTATGCAGTACTTGACCTGTAGTCATGCAATGTTTTAATTAGCAGCTGCGCATTTTGTTTGCAGTGTGAGGGCCAAGAGACAGACTGAGACAGCCAAAGGTGTCAGTAGGCTACTTTTTGATAGCCTTGCTCTCTAGTGTGCTTGTACATTAAGATGCTAGCCTGTGAAGAAGTGCATAACACAACTGCTCTTGAGAAAACTATGCTGTTTTTGTTTGGTAAGTAACAATGCAAACATTTTAAAATGATGATTGTGTTAATGTGTGGGTAAAGATACACATTGAGGCTCAGCTCAATGCTAATGTAGTAAAAAGACATATGCATATGTTATTTTTAGTAATCAATTTCAACTGACACACATCCTAGTCAAACCCACAACTGCTAAGTCAGCCAATAGTGGTCAACCAGGCACTAAACATCTTAGCAAATTTGCTTGCTAGCTGTAGCAAGCAAGTAGCCTGTAGCCTGTCACATGCCTCCTGCTTTGCAGTTCCCATGAGAGTGTCTTGATAATGTCGAAATTGAACAGGTTTCAATATATTCCCCGCAAAGTAATGTCCATGCTAGTGTTTTATTAAAAAAAAGAGAGAAATACATTCAACATGTTTGTTAAGCGTCAAGAATACAGTTTTGGTGAGACACTGAATGTAAACATATCAGGGGACCTTTGACAATAACCATCATTATTCTGCATGCTCAGTGGAACAGACTGGACTACTGTAACAGCAACTAGATTAATGAAACAGAAAGGTTCAACACTATCTTCTGAGTTTACAGGTGGTTTGATGTATTACTTTCATTAAACCGGAGACATTACACAGGATCACATCCTTGTTTTGCTTGACCACAAAGCACCTTCTCTGGACTTGAGTAAAGTCCCTTTTCTCAAGGGCACAATTAGAGTAATCACTGAGAGTAACTGAATGGAAATCCTACTTTACTTGCCTGGAATTAGAGATTCCTATTTGATCTGAGACTTCACAAGTTTGCCAACCTTCAGGGTGCTGCAGCCTTTTTAATGTGCTCCATCATTAAAAGTCACAGAGACATAGATTCAGCAATCTACTAAACCTGGGTCACTTTTCACTGCAACTGATTGGATATTTCTGCCCAAACTGAGACCACCCATGATAACGCTGCTATGGCCCCCAAATCAATTTGCGGCAGAATACGTGCCCTCCTTCACATTCTGCTATTCACCACGTGTCACGTCTTGTCCCTTCCCTCATCCTTCAATGGCTGCGTATAATTGTTCCACCAGTGGCAGACTTTAATTATTCACATGATGCCAAGGCTCAGGCGGTGGCAGCTCTCACCTCATCCATCACCATGAACTATGGCTCCGCCAATCTACAAATGCACTGTCTACCAGTTGTGTTATGTGTGCGCCATATATGATAAACATCTCGGAAGCAAACTGCTGATGGTCTTCATTATTTTCAGATGGGTTTGAGATTAACAGAGAGGAATGGAGGGCAGTTATCCGCTTGGCATTACACTGCTTTATAGACCACTTTGTATTTCAGAGGAAAGGGTTGGGAAATTATATTTTATGTGGCTTCTGTAGGAAATACAAAAAGGCAGTCTCTGTCGCTTCCCATCTTTTTGTTAATCTCCTGTCTCTTTCTCTTTCTTTCACTCTTCATCTCCATGTCCATTCTCACTCTCCCTCCTCCCTTCCTCTGAATCTCTCCATCCCTCTGCTGTAATTCTTGCATCCTAAAATGCTGCAGACATTAACCACAATAGGCTGACATTCATCCAGCAATACTATCTCCTGAAGTTAGCATTTTTCACTGTCAAAACAATGTCAATTCAGCAGTGGGGAAATGCACGCAGCTTGATTAACCGTTCTGCTTCATTAAAAGTTGATGATAAGCAATAGCTATTGGAGCGTCATCTGCAGAGATTGTTAAAGCCCCTCAAATAAACACAGTTGTCAAGTTGTAAGCAGGGTTTCTGTGGCTGTAGATGCACACAAAAAGGTGGGGTAAATCCACAGCTTCTACATTGTTTTCTAAAGCTGGGGAAGTATTATTTCCTTGTCATGAGGTGAAATATCAACAATAAGTTCCTTTCTATGGTATCCATGTCAACTTAAACATATCTGGCAAATGTAACTGTTGTATTATTGTTAATTTTAGAAACAATAACAGGCAGAAATGGTAGATGTGTTGGGTTAGTGTTTCGATCCCTGGGTCCTCCTGTCCACATGTTGCTCAAGTGTCCTTGAGAGAGTCACTCAACCCCAAATTGCTCCCCATGAATTTGTATGGGGAAAAAACTAAATCACCTTTAAAATGCTTTGTGATGTCATGTGTAATGTAAACAGGTTGAATATAGGTCGATTGCATGGCAACAATAGTCAATGTAAACCTATGTACACTAAGGCTTCTCACTGGTGAAAATCATTGTATACTTTCACAAAAAATGCTGGATGGTTGTTTTGCTTTCGGATGCACTAATCGACGAGGAGACCAGCCTGAGCTGTGTTAGGTGAGGGATTCCCCACAAGGTAAATGTAAACATTACCGCAGTCGAGCGGCGGTAGGGACCTGATGGTTTTTAACGGTAGAAATGCGGCAGTGGATGCTGTAACATTATATGGACCGGAAGTACCCAACACTTGCAGTTTGTGTTCTTTCTTTTTCATGAGTTGAGAGGTGATCCAAATAAAATTTAACTGCTTTACGGGGGAGTCGCGGTGTGAGCCGCTATGCTGGTCTATTGTTTTGCCCTCCGGGTCACCGCGCATGTCACATGACTGAAAACTGTGAATTGAAGACAATTGTTTTCACAGGCTGGGTAGTACTCTTTAGGACTAGTAAATGGATCTTGGTGTGAATTCTGACCCCTGAAAGGATCTATTGGTTAAGTGGAAAAATGCACTTTTCTAGGAAGCTAGTCTATGTACTCTTCAGTCGTACATGGGTTCAATTATGTTGTAAAACCGACTGTCTCGAAGAGGGTACCCTCATGTTATCTTTTGAGGATTTCATGCAAAAAGGAAAGCCAGCATATTGTGCTCACAAGCTAGCTCCACGTGTACTCACACTCGGTCGGTGCCATAACTGCGGTAGTCCACTGCAGCAGAAACGGCCACAATTAGCGCCGGAACTCCGTAGCCCACCAGGTAGAAGTAGCGCCGGCGCGAGTGCTCGCTCTCAAACACCTCCACCAACATGATGTAGAGCTGCACGCCCTCCAGGAACATCCACGTGAACGCTGCCAGGAAGAAGAAGTGGAGCAGGGCAGCGAAGACAGCACAAGCAATCTGGGAAGGGTTTACATAGCGGTGGACACAAACAAAAATGAGAGAGATAAACAGGGAGGAAAAAAAGAAGGGAGGTGTGAGTACTCACAGTAGAAAACACATTTCAATAAAATCACATTTGGGGTTTTAGCTGATTTCCTGAGGGATTAAATGTCTCGATACAGGGCATGTAATGACTAGTGTGTCATCCAAGTGACTATAAGGGAGAAGCATTTTCTGACCTATGCATGTTTACATCTTCATGCAATTAGTATTGCTAAGCTTTGTTTGGCTGGAGTGATTGGATGTTTGCCTGTAGTGACTGGCAGAAGAATGCTGCAGCTACTGAGCCCATGTGGTCTTGTTTGCTGAAGCTGGCAGCATGGAGGAAAGAGAGATACGAAGAAGTGAAGTCAACAGTCCCAAGAGCCATTTGGGGCTCACTGCATTTTATACCAAGACCAGGTGTAAGCACATAATGTAGTTACACACTTTTCTGAGCTGATAAGCAGTACATACAGGCGAGACCAGTATAAAGCACACTGTCATTTGCATGCGTGCATGTGCCCACCCAATTTCTAACAATAATAAGATACATGGATTGATGTAATTATTAGCACAGTTGAACATAACTAGCTTATTTTGTCACTGAAATGGTTTCAATTAAATAACTAAAAGGTTGAGCGGACATTAATTGCAGTTCAGGAGAGTGATCTTAGAGCCTGGCAGTGAATCACACGCATAAAATGTTATGGAAGGGAAAGGTGTGGGCCAAAGCATTATCTTTAAATTCACAGGGAAGTAGCTTTTGTGGATAAACTATGGTGTTTTGAGATTTGGTTCTTCCCTATAGTTATGGAAATATTTCAAGAGCAAAACATAAAAACATAGATGTGTTTTGATAGCACTGGGGCTGAAAAGTAGGGGTATATATTTTCTTTCTCTGTGAATTTCTATTAATCATAATTCACCTGCACTTATAACACAGTTGTGAAATGTAGATATGTGTGGGATAATTTGATATAAACAATGACAACAAATAAATAACTACAATTGTTATGAAGACAAATTGCAATAAGATATATTCTAGCCTCTGAACCCAAGTTATAGACTGAGATCATTTCATAACGTGCTCAGACAATCTTTCCCTAGAAGAGCAAAGCAACTAACTGTGTACTCTGCCTCATTAGTAAGCAAAAATGGCATGATTGCGAGAAGCTGTAGGTGGAATAAAGTCCTCCGCCATCCTGTATACATGTAATGACTCCACATTTGTCTGCAGTATGAGTGTTGAACACACACTTGAAGATGACTGTGCGGTGACAGCATGCCTCCACTTGCTGCCACAGCTGAGCTCTTACAGGAAAGCAATGCCACCCAAACTACAGTTATTACACTAGAAGACGATTTAGTGTATTGAACAGCTTAATCCAGATTAATAATAAGTGTTTACAAATTGGAAAACAGCATCAGCAGGTAGGGGAGGGGGACACTTAACAGTTGCTCAAAATGCTACTACCTGAGTGTTTACATGAATTAAAAACATTAAAAGGTATCACATCAGTGTTTTCAAATTTTTGTACTTTTAACATCACTACAGTATCCACCAGCCGCAGTCTTACCGGCTGGTCCCCTCGATTGATCCCCACCAGGAACAGGGACTCTGCAATGAACAGGCAGATGCAGAGGTTCTTATGGATGGTGTTGCGATCACTCTGGAGGCCGCGGAAGAAGCAGAAGGTGAAGAGGCTGATGAGCAGGCAGACCAGCGACAGGAGGATGCCAACCCAAGTAATGACATCAAGAAGCATGTCGTGAACAGGGTCTGTGTTCTGTAAGTGATGGAAGAAAGAATTTTCTTATTATTGTACCCAGAACCACATTTTGGTATTTGAAAAGACAGCATGGAAAATATAATGTATGGATCCTTGGGTTTGTGAAAGGCGCTATATAAATCAAAGTATGTAGGTCATGTACAGGAATTCATTTCTAAAGAAAAAATGAAACAAAATAATAAACAATAAATGGCAAAATAAATAAATAAATTCTATCCTAACAGCAACACTAAAGGTTTTATTTTCAGTATTTATTTTTTTGTTTTTTAGGGGATGTGGGTAAAGTGCATTCACTCAACCCTCCAATAAACCACTACACAGCAAGCCACAGGTGGCAGATATGAATCATGAATTAGTCAGTGTGAATCAATCTAAAATGCCCCCCTATTGTTTCATTTTGGTCAGGCAACAAAGTGGAACAAAGTGAGCAGTCAAAGAGGCCACAGGTGTCTAAGGCCAACACAACAGGAACACAATCAAACCGCAACATGGTCAATAACTTTCGCTGTTGCTTTTAGATAATTTTCTCTTTTCAAATAGTAATTTGCGACCACAGACAGTTTTGGGCACTAAAAAGCCTTTTGCCGACAATAAATTTGGAGCTTTATGGGAGAGATAAGAATCAACAGTGATTCCACCACAGCCATGAAAGAGAATTTACATCAGTCCATAAAAGCCAAGTGCAGATAGGGATACTTGGACAGAAGCGCGAAAAGGCAACACACTCTAAAACAGCAGAAGCTGCAGAATGACTGACTTCTGTGGCCCTAAACACATTAAAACAAACACATTAGAACAAACATCCTGTCAAGGCTGCCATGGGTAAAAATTGGGGCCCGTTAGAATTGGAGCTTAGTTCAAAAGGTGGCATCTTGTCAATAAGTTCTGTGCCCATTTATGCTGCTTCATCAGTGGTTCCCAACAAGGGGTTCTTTTACCCCATGGGGTTCATGGAAAGATTGAGGAGTGGCTCAGTTCATGTGACAAATTAGAGAGATACAATTTGATTAGAAAAATATACATCCACATATATCTAGTCTGCTGTAATACTTTAGCACCACATGACCAAGCGTGCGTGAAAACTAGCTAGCATGTGAGCAGAGCAGTTGAAACAGTTAGCTGAAAGTAATGCATAAATTGTTGATAAGTAATGGATAAATGGTTGAAATAGGTGAAAATAATGAGTAAATGACTCAAACGTCCAGATTCTACTGCTCCTAGTGCTAGAAGTACAAATGCAAACAATGACAGTTGTATTAAAACAACTGTAACACCCACTTCTATATAGTAAATAGATAAATAATATCAAGTTTAAAATGTATTCAAATGAACACAATTGGAACATGGCAGGTGGTGACGATGAAGGGGTACTTGAGTTCATCTAACATGGCTGTGGGGGTACATGTGATGAGAAAGGTCGGAAACCACTGCACTGTAAATGAGTCTCCTATATGTAAAACATGGGGATAGGTGTCATAGGGTGACATCTTGATTTATTAACTAAACATAATTACTGCATCAAAACATTTTAGCCAGCTTCTGAGGCTTCCTAATTTCCCGAAGGGATAGTCCTCGTTTTCAGCCTGCTGGGCATTGATATATATATATATGTATACACACAAATATATGAATTCAGAGTGCACAACAGACTGTCATCCCTGCTGGGACTCGAGGACTACCTGGGTGGAACTTTTTAGTTTTGACAATGACGACTGAATGCTAATGAAGATCAAAAGGCATTATTTTAACACAGCAGAACATTACAGATATTTTAGTGCAGACAGTTAATTAGCATTGACAGCCAGTTAAAGATCAGCGCAGGTGAAAGCTAAGCTAAACTCCTCTTAACTGTGTATACATCAAGCACTGACACTGTACATGAACTACCAGACTTAAGAGTACAGTTTGGCTGTTTAATATCAAAGGCTGTGTATGCAGCAAATAATGTATTGCTCCGAGTTATAACAAAGGACAAACTACTATATTTGCTTACTTTGAGAAATAATGCAGCAAAAGCATACTATGTCTAAAATGTCTCTCAAACAAGCATCTCTTTAAATCATATTTTGACCACAGTCAGCAGTATTTTCAGCGGGGGCAGGGGGAGAGGGACCATCAACGTCCACGGTTGGGTTTTCTTTCTATTTTTTGTCTTCCTCCCTCCATCAAGTTACAGTGAGGAAACTTGGGGGATGAAGTATCACACAAAAGGCTTGTTTAGTGGCAGCTCAGCTAACGCTAGCAGAGAGGGGAACAGATGCTGATCATTAAGGGGCTCTGGTACAATAACAGCCGCAGTGTTCCTTGAGTCTGGGGAGAGCGCTCTTTTGATTTTCCTGCCTGATGAGCCGTTGTGTATACGTTGGACAGGTGGGGGTGGGGGATAGCAAGATGTTATATAGAGCAGACGTCTGTGTGTGTGTGTGTGTGTGTGTGTGTGTGTGTGTGTGTGTCAGTTTGTGTGAAAGTAAGGCTGATTTCAGCGCCCTTACTTTAGAGGGGTGCCTACACAGTAGGTGGCAACAGATGTCGATGTTTGTGCTTGCATGCTCTGAAGGTGTGTGGTGCATGTGACACATAAGTCTGTTTGCAGTCCACTGCATTTCAGAGGTTTTGATGCGGTGGGTGGTACTAGCTGTGTCACATTGTGAGGGGACCCTAAGGTCTCCTGGGCTAGTGAGCTGTGCAGTGGCTGCAGGCTCTATCCATCACAATCTCACCTTCAACTGGAGGGGGGCCGGGTCAGAGACAAAAGAGAAGGCAAGGGAAAGAGAGAGAAAATAAGACAAAGCTATAGAAACAGAGAGAGATGGGGAAGGAGTGTATCTACACCTGGGTGATGGATTTACTGTGGAATGATTTCTTTGTTCTTGGAGGTGGATGATGGCTGAGACGTCACCAGCCACAATGCCTCTGCTGAAAAGTTTCCTTTTACAGGGGGCTGTGCCCAGACAGGATGGCAAATGATGTGATCTGCAAAGCCTCTGCACCTAACCTCACACCGACAAGACTCCATGATGGGAATCAGTGTAGTGGTCTCTAAAGTGGGCAGACGTAATTTGCTCTGAAATTCACTCACTGTGTCGCAAGGGCGGCCGAGTCATGCAGCATCCATGTAATTTAGCAGGGCGAGGCACATTTGTGCACATTCGATTTGTCTCCCAATCTCTCTCTCCTACATTTTTCCCTTTCTTAAACACACATATTCTTCATTCCAGACAGATGCCTGAGGAGATTGGCTTTGCCCCCCGATCTGTTCACACGCAGCACAAAATAAGGTTTCTGGGTACTCGAGCAGTCTGACAAGGAGGAGCAGAGGTGGCAACGAGCCTTTTGTATAGCACACTGGTCTTTCTAGGACAAGCCATCTGAACCTGACAACACATCATATGCACTTAATTACCATAATATCACGTGTCTAAAGCCAAAAACTAAACCAGTCTTCTCTGAAATGCGTAAGAGGGTGAAGTGGTGGAGAGAACAGAGCGTCAATCCTTTATACCTCAAAGAACCACTGAGCATGGGGCCATGAAGCCAATCCAATTAAAATGCATAAATCTCCCTATATGCCTCCAGAGTCGTGCTTTGACTCATGAAATACGGTCAGGCAGGGCAGACAGTTGCACTAAGGGGTAGTGGCCCACTGCTGGGAGTCATGTGACAAGTTCACCTATGGTATGACTAAGGATTTATGATCTGCACAGGGATGAGGAACAGTTGCGGAGAGGGCGTATGAATCAGGGGTACTGGAAAACTTGTCACATTTAAAAGGTCTGGGAGACAGATACCAGCTTGTGTTGTGGGAGCTGACATTCAGCACATGCACCTAATGTCACACTGTGTTCTAAGCTCCAATAACAATGATATAATATCCAAATACGACATTCGGTTGCTATGGCAGTTAACATGGTCTCCATCTTCTCCGTCAGTAAACACATAAATAGATTTATTCTGAACCGTCTTGTTGTGTGTACTGTACCATGCTTATGTGTAGCATCATAAAATACACAACTAACCTTGACTGTCCTTTCTCATCAGAGTAAATGTCTGATGGTGCCAGTGTGGAGATGTTCTATAAGGACAGTGATGAATGTTACCCAAATACCACCCTTTCCATCATCCAGTGGGGTGTGCCATTGATTTATACTTACTGGTCTGTCTGGAATAGTGCCACTTATGAGTAGCTCAAGGCCTCCCTGGGGCCTATCTTAGCACACACATCTACTACGTAAATAATGGCCTGTAGGTGGAACCAGAGCAGGTCTATATTTCTTGAGCTGGGGCTTGTGCTTTAGCCCATATTTAAAAGCTTTTTTAATGCCCACCAGCTATCTTCACAAATGGTGGACTTCAATTCAAAAGCAAAGGGTTCAATAAAGAGCCTCAGGAGCTTGAATGGGCACGGGCCATTAGGGAATCTTGAAAAATTTGTTTTAAGCAGACCCTGATGAAATAGTGGCTATCCATGGTGTGTTTTTTGGAATGTTATTGAGCGCCTACATCTGCCAAAGCAAGACCAAGTGACCCAGAAAGGTTTATGCAACAAGGAGGCTAATCTGTTCAGCAGAACACTACCACTACTATCAAATGTTATGGAGGTCACTTTATTTGATTTATTTCAGATCAAACGCTTTATTTGACTTTGAAGTGTTTGTGGTGGTGACACAAGAGGTGTACACGTTTGACACCACCATTAGGAGAGCAAAATCCTGCCTTTTAATATCGTGTCGAGTGGAATAAATTTATTTCCAATACCTTTTAAGCTTCTTTGCAGTAAAAGCGTCAAAGCTCTGTGGCAGGACATCTCGAGGTTAGAATCATCAGCGCTCTTAGCAAAGTCACAAGTACACCCACTCTCACATCTCTTGCTCAAAAAAATCCTGTTTGCAATCATTCAGAAAAGATACAAAAGAGACATATAATCTCTCACACGCAGCTGCCGTCTGTGAGTACAGTTTTAATTTGTTTATGCGGCCAACGGCGCTTCTCAGCTCAGATTGCAGGATCAGTCAAAGGCTCAGCGCTAGATAGCTCCGAATTAGCAAACAAAGGGCTCGAGTGGCGACACAGGCAGCAGTGACAGCACTCGATGCCCTTGTGTTTGTCTAAGTGGCGGGTTACCTGAGCCACTGTATCTGACAGATATTGCATGAATCGGTGTACTCCTAAAAAGTAGGAGGCTTGGTTTAGATATTTGACATTAATGAGTTCTTTTGTGTCTGCAACATGAAAAAGATTTCACATTTGGTAATTTGGTTAAGGGCATCGCATTAGAGGCTGCCAGGGCTCTAAACATCTTGGGGTACTCGCTCGCAATTTTTCGACAATGTTCAAACAGCTACAATATGTGAATTAGAAATTATTCTGAGGAACTAACTGTATTCAAACATAATTAATCCCGATGAGACACCATTTGGAGTGTCTGCGCTGCTGAGTGTATCTAATAATCTCAAACACAATTACATTCTAGTTCAAGGGTTTCTTACGCATAGGTATGTGTGGGCAAAGTTTTTACTTTCCCCACACACAAAATCATGTCAGGTTGAGCATGATAACAAGGCACTTATTGTGAAAAGTAAGTGCGCATGTATTGGTTTTATAACAGATGTTTGTCCTCAAAAGGGTGCAAGTTTTGTCAGTAAGACCTTGTAAATCCTAAAGTTTATGGTAGGTAACGGAACTAAAGACTGTAGGACATGTCGGGGTTGTTTCTCTATATATTGATTGTTATTTCCTGATGACAGTGCACCACATCCCATTTGCAGAAAATCAATGCAGCGTCTTCAAATGATGTCGAGTGCACATGCGGGAACATTCAGTCATTTCTAATTTCCTGTGAAGTATGTGGCATTTTGAATGCAATCACAACTCGGTGCTAAAAATTTAACACCACAAGCCTGGTACAGCTGAAAGCTTATTAAGCCGAACATAAAGATCTCTGTATATAACACTATCATCATTCCCAACTAGCGTGCATACGATCCGTAGGCCAAAAAAACAACAAGTTGAAAGGTGATGGCGATACTGTAGCGAGCCCCTGTCCTCCAAAGGAAAATGGTAATTACAGCTTGTCTACCTTTTTTCTTTCCCAAGATGAGACTGAGAAATATACAAGGTGAGAATAACCTAATGGGTAATGCGTAATAACAATGCAGAGATCAACAGTGCTATGTTCAGTTACCATGGATACAAAAACAGTCTCTTCAATTTATGAACTTCCTTTCTCCCCCCCTCCCCCTCGCTCATTCACTGTGTTCTTAGATACAACAAAGTGACAGTTTGTCAAACAAAAAGCCTCCCCATTCAGTGGCAACTTCCAACAAGCTGCCTTTTATAACATCCAAGTGGAAAAGATAAAGAATAAGGGAAGGTGAAAAACCCCCCCGCTATCACTCAGAACAGGGGTGTAACCACTGTCCACTTTCCTCCGGTGAATGCACTACCACAAGCAAGCCAGGCTTTCCAAAATGTTAGGGACTGGCTTGACTGAAAGCGCTCCTTTTACTGCTTCCTTTTCTTTTTTCTTTTGCTGCTTTGCTTTCACTGTGTGAAGGCTCCCATTCTTCCCAGCTCCCTCTGTATTCCAGACTCAGCTTCAGCCCTGCAGAGAGCTTAGTGGGTCCAAAAGTCACGCTGCTGAGTGACAAACAGTGGCTTTCTTTAGCTAGAAGGACACCACACCTTCCCAGACCGGAGTGTTGTGTGTGTGTGTAGGATAAAAACAAAAAACTACTGAATTTTGAGTATGATTGTGTGCATTGCTGTTTTTGCAGTTTGGTATGTGCATTGTGTCTGTCTATGAAAGAAGAGAGAGTGATAGAGAGGGACTAGGGAATAGAGGGGGGTGAAGGAAGGTCTAGTGTTTTCATGGACAAGGGCCAACTGGGACGGTGCTCAGAGTGTTTTTTTTCGTCCCACTGATTCAGAAGAGAGGCTCTGGAGAGACAGATGCTATACTAGATTCAAAAAACTACTCTGCTCCGTCAGCAGTGAGCTCCTCAAACTTCCTGTGGCAGAAATAATTAAGCCGCCTGTCAGCGTCAGAGCTGTGACGCAACTTCTTCCCTGACCAGCAATTCTGCTACCTTCTCCAACTTGCTCGATTTTTCTTTCAGCTTTGTAAGTGCTGCCCACAATAATCAATTTTACACAAATCTCAAAGCTAAATTACAATTTCTATACAGGTTTTTTGCACAACTTTTTTTAGCACCTCCCAATTAACTGCTCTCCAGCACATCACATCACACCACACTTACTGTACTCATCATGTTTGTTTCTGTGGCTACAAACAAAATGGCGCACTGAGAGAACCCTGTGATATGGGCATACATACTTGTTTTCTTTATTACTCCTTTCTATCTTTACATAGATAAATAAAAGAAGCAGATGGAAATGACCCAGAGCAAAAAAAAAATCTAGATGTTAGATTTGGGGTTCAATAGCACGGATCCAAATCTGAAACATTCAATCACTTAATAAACATAATTAGGGTCAGCTCTAAACAATTTTAAATAAAGGTAAAAATAAAAAAACTATAAAGGAAAGCTAATTTAATGTCCTCATCTGGAAAGGTATTAAACCTGCTGGTCTCTAGGGCTAATGGTAAGGTTCCTGAATGTAACCGTGCACATCAGGATCTTTGTCTTTTAACTAAATTATACTTTCACAGTTCACATGTTAGCTATTCTTCATGAGACAATAAGTTTGTCATCCCCCCCCCTATATATGAGGAAAAATGTTGCTCCTTATCTCTTTAATATCACAAAGCTACCCGTTCTGAAATATGAATGACAAATCGTTAAGGATTTCAAGTCCTTAGCCCAGGGATGTGAAATATAAAGAAAAAATTGTTGGTGCTGTTAAACAGCTGCGAACACAAAACACGCCACACACTTCTTCACACACTGGAGGTTTAAGATGGCTGCAATCAATACACATTTTCCACTGACAGGGTCATTGTTGAAAACTATATGAATAGGGTGTGTATATTGGCACTTTAAATATTAGTCTGCTGTTAAGGTCAAAAAACTGTTATCAGTCTATTTTACCCTCTGAACTATAAATCAAGGGGAGATACATAACAGCAGTGAAAGGGATGCCTTCTACAATTCTTGACACTGTCTGGACCTTACTTTTCTTGTCAACAAATCATCTTGTAATGGACTGCCCGTGTGAACCATGATGGATCAATGCGTCTCTGTGCCTCTCAACTGCATTTGGTGAATTGCACATATGTGAGGATTAATAAATAGATCCATTGAAAAGCAAGAACGGGCAAAGAGCTGGCCTACCTTGACGTCCACGTGGGCCATGAGGACTGCAAAATTGGTCAGATGTGTACAGGAGCATGTGGTGTGCGTCCTGTTGGTGCCTAGCAAGCGGCAGTCCTGTGTCGACCAGTAACCAGTCATGCTTCTCTTGGAGTAACTCCAGAATGAACAGTTGGGGTTGAAGTTCTCCTCAGATTGCTGTTAGATGGCAAAAACAAATAAATGAGTAGAATAGTGGAATTACTAACACAGAGAATGTGCCTTCCATTGCTAGGTAAAACACAGGGGCCTGTTAATCACACATTAGCATCGTCAATTTCTACTTTCCTTTGTTTGCAGAATAAACATCCTCAATTCATCCGAACCATTTTCCCCCACTGCAATCCATATCCATTCTTAAATGAATTGCAGGTGGTTTTACTGCCATACAGCATCAAGCAGCCCCATGCTTGTTTTCCACTGTGTTTTTTGACCTTTCTCTTTAACTTTCACTGTGTGACAATGGACTGCCCCACTGTTTAATGGGTACCACTGCTGTCTGCGCCAGGCTGCGGCTCTTAACGACAAGCACGCCTCCCTTCTATCTCGCTTGGTAAAAGCAATCCATGACACAAAACATAACTGCTGATAAACAGATACATCAACTGCCTTTCCCTCTTGAGCCCAATTTCTTTTGTAGCTCCGTAAACAAATGGAGAGCACACTCACAGTCCTTTCCTTTGTGACTCACAGCTGCCAGGGTTAAACATATCTGCTTTCTTATTATAAACACCATGAGGAGCTGTAGTTTTCCATAGTTACACACTTGCTATGTTGTAATTAGTCTAATAAGATTTATCCTTTGCGAACGTAAATTTGCAGCTGATTGAGTTTACCCTTCACACATCCAAACCCTGTGTAAAATATTCCACTGCTAGGAGAAAGGATGACCCCCTGTCCCATTAATGACTTTAATTGGTCCCATTAAATGGCGAGGCAAGGAAGCACAACAATAACTAGAGGACATAGCATCATCCCAGAAGACCAGTGATCCAAAACCCCATGGTTGAGAGGGGGACTTAACTGTGGGAGGCCAGAAAAATAGGAACCCCTGCTCGATAGCAAGAGTTCAGATAAGTGAGATTTTCTCTTTGTAGTACCATTTACGGGGGGGGGGCCACAATGCTAGCTCTACACAGAGATGTGTACAGTGCAACAAATAAAAATAATAATAAATTGTTCTTGCCTGCCACAACAGCGCTTAAGAAGCAGAGTTAATCAGAGTGCTCTCTTTAAAACACCTCGGACTGGTTTACCAGTTTACCAGAGAATAGGGAGCTCTTGATTTGATGCACCAGAGTAAGCGCTCTATATGCAAAACATCAATATTGCATCCAATCAAGTTTAATTAATTGCGGGAGCCATACTTGTATTCATGATTATTATATGATTCATTGTACAGCCCTTGGTGTACAGTAGTGCTGTATGTTTATTACATTTTACTGAAATGATAATTCCAGCAGCTCTCTTGGCGCACTCCAGTGTTATAAGTGGAAGAAGTGCAGAAAAAAAATAAAAAAATAACACACTTTCCCAAATGGGCACAGTTTTATTAAAATGACTTGATCTGACCAAGAAAAGGGTATGAAAGTGCTGGTGCCCCAACATTAGACCAACAGTAAAATTAGTGAATCTACGGTCCAAATTAGAAATTACACTTAAGGCAGGTGAGTCACAGCAATAACTGCACTGACATTGCCCCCTGACATTTTCCTACCATTTAATTTTGACATCCATGAGCTATCATCCTTTTACTCTCTTTATCCCTCTGCGCTCTGTGATACCCCCCCCCCGTTATCGCTTTCCTTCCAGGTCCCTCCTACACATGAGACTGCAATTCTCCTATGGCTGTTCAGCATCCCAGATAATCGCTGAAAGCACTGTTCGTAGACAAAACAGGGATATTTCGATGGTAGCAGTGTGTGGGAAAGATAATGTAGTCAAATGGGAGAAGTCGCGACTCCCCACTATGACTAAGCAGCCTCCAGCAAGGCGCAATATGACAGATATTTGTTCTAGAGATCAGGCTGGTATTTGTTGAAACTAATAAACAACAACATGCATCCCCAGCATCACCTTGTGAGCAATTTGATTTCCCACAATATCATTTTTCACACCTTTCTTTGAATAAAACTTCAAATTAACTTAATTTTCTTGGTTTGAGGTGGGATATGTACCTTTTTTTGTTGCACTTCAGGGATGGAGAAAATTGCAATGAAATGGTTCTATCAAGACAGCACATGTGCAAGTGTGCTTTTGTGTGTAAGTAAAACACAAAGTGACAAAAAAGCACATTAAGCACAGAGGCAGTCACATCAAAGGAAAAGCAAAACATATCTCAACTCAGACGCACATAAAGGGACAGAAAATTACCTGTAGATGTCTGATGGTAAAAATGACAGGGTCAGAGAGGTAGACTTTGTTAGAGTCCTTGTTGATGGCAGCCGTGATAACTGGTGAGTTGACAATGACAGAGTAATTGGTAGCCATGGCTTCATTGCCCAGCTTCATGCTGGCGTTTTCCGTTGAAAGGTAGACCCCAATGTGTTTGTACAGGACGAATGCGATCCGAATTTCACCTGCGGGAAGACGATCGTGGAAAGTGTTCAGTTTACTAGTCTATTAAGATTATCTCTCAAATGCAACTAGGATTCGATACAGAACTATGAAAAATAGTCCCAGACCAAAGTACACAAACCTATGAGCACACACATTTGGCCACACAGCGCAGTGCCAGAAAATTTGACAAGAGTGTGTAAAATGGTGTGTTTTTTCTTCCATCAAGAGGCAAAAAGTATATTTTGTATGCTAGTTATACGGCTTATAAATACTATTCAATTTAAGACACTTTAGCAGCACTTGAGGACAAAAGGAATGCAGGAAGAAAATGACTCCGTTGTACCTTTGTTGGCACAAGAATCCGAAACTGTATATAGTAAAACTGTTAAAAGAGAGACCAATGTCAAGGTTGCCAAAATAGTTCCACAAGAGGAAATAAAGGATAACTCTTTCCCAAATCAACAAACAGTTATTTTAATTCAGCATTCAAGAAATGTGGTTACCACTCATCTATTGGGGCCAACAAAGGCGAACATTTTTCTTGTTAATAATTTCCTTCTCTGTCATACACATCTCTTTCCCCTCCTGCCGTCTCACTTTTGAGTACTGATATGAAAGAAAGTTCCCTCCCGCTGCGGCTGAGATCACTCACTCAGATGAAACAAAAACAATTTGGGTGCTATAGCACTGGCTGATGAGGAAATATCCGCCACCCTGCTATAATGATCCGCCTGGGCACGGCTGGACATGGACATAGTCATCCAGCTTAGAGGCACTGGGCGCAGCTTGAGTCGATTTCGATTTGCATGAGCTGATAATAAAGTCTAAAAATGGGGCTGCATTGCTCCTGAAGATAGCTATGTATTGTGTCTAACTGCCTCATTTACAGTTTAGAGGCAGTGCTTGAATGTAACTAATTCTACAGCCAAGGCCCTGTTTAAACACTGCAGAACGATCCCTGTGCTTTATATGCAGCCCAAAAAAGGATTTGAGAAGCAAATTGAAAGTTATTCACAGGCATCTATAATGAAATTCCTACAGAACCACAGCAGCCCATGCGATATGTCACATCCACATTTGGAAAAAAACTAACAAAAAAACCCCAGAAAGAATTTTCGATTAATTACAGTGGATCTTGTATGCCATGAACATTCTTCAAGTAATACAACAGTATTTCAATTATAGCAAAGTCGCATTTTGTCTGTTCAATCTTTTATCACAAGCCTGAATAATACTCTCAGCGAAGTTGCGCACAAGGCCTGATTACACTTCAAGCCAACAATAGGGGACCAATGAAAGCAGATTCAAAAGGTCTGACTACTCACCGTTTCTTCCGTGCTGCTTTAGCGTGTTAGCTGAGAGGTGGATGGAGTTGCCCTGTCCTCCAGTTTGTGGGAACTTCAGATCAGGCAAATTCCCATCTGTGCTCATCCTTGCCACCTCCAGCTCTGCACACAAACAGATCAAACCCAAACGAGACACACATTTAATAATCAATATTAGGCTTTATTAATAAGGCTCTTTTTTATTATACAAGCTAATAGACAAAATAAGTGCTGCAGACTACATAGTAAAGAACTGCAGAGGCACAACGGTGCACAGTATTCCAGCTGAGGCCTTAAGGGAAATATTCAACATTATTGGCAATACGGTTGTTTGATTTCTTGCTGAGAGTAGGTTGCGAAGACTGATACCACTATAGTGTCTGTGCCTTGAGTATAGTGCTATGTGCTATAATGGTTGTAAACAAGTGTTTTAAGTTCTCTGTTATGTGAACTTTCATAAACATTGGACCTTTTCCTATCTCTAACTTTCATCCCATGTCACATGAGCAAGACATTAGACCAGGGGCCGGCAACCCCCTTTCTGACTAGTAATTGCAGTAATTATATAATAAATAGGGCTTTCAATCGATTAAAAAAATCTAATTGATAACAAGTTTTGTAACTTGTTTGTAGTTTCGTAATTAATTAATCGAATAAATCAAAATAAATCATATATATCGATATTTGCCATGATAAGCATTAAAAATATTTTAATTCAAGTACATTTTGGTACATGAGTGCATCAACGATAATAAATTACCTTTTTTTCCACTGTTCATATGAAAAAACAATGCCACAACAATTTTTAGTTAAATAGTAATTGTTTTTTTGTGGTGTTGTGGATGACACCAGCCTCCTAGGTTTGTATAAGCAAGGCGCCATTGCACTGAACAAGAGCAGGTCAAACCTGAGCTGGAACACGTAAGTATTATTAACTACCAACATGCCATGTGTTGCACTTGACATCTATGTGACTTATTTGTCATCACTGCTCTTAGGGAACTAACAACTCTAGGTGGGAGCAGTCATAAGTAAACGTCAAACACATCCCCAATCACATCCCTGATTCAAAAAATCCATTCTCTAGTGTTAGCAGATTTTATCAATGCATGCATCTCCAATGAGCACTAAAGACTGTAGGTCTTGCAGCTTTGAAGTGTTGCCTCCCTCTCAACTCTGTGTGTGCAGGATAGGTTAGCATCTTGCTATATGCCTCTTAATCAAGTGACTATGAAGTGTTCAGGTGATATTGTTTCTTCTTAAATTCTAAAAAAACAAAGGTTGTCTTCACTTTGGGGGGGAAAAAAAGAGATGCCTTCATTTCAAGGAATCTTTCTCTTTGAGAAGAGCGGCGAGAGCGAGAGATACAAGGAAGAGATAAAGACCTGCTAAGGAAGACACGCTTGCTTCTAAGGCAACTCAGCAGCTGTTGTGTCTGAAGCAAGCTCCTAATTTATGGTTCAAAGACTTCGACGTCATACAGCAGAGGAAAATGAGCTGCTGATAGGAGCCTAGCTGAAATAAAAAGCTCATTCCATCAAAGTTATTACCGTATGATACAATTCAGTTTAATAAAGCAGTCGAGTGTCTCTAATCTCAAGTACCTGACCTGTGTGAAGTCTCGGCATTCCTAAATGTCACATGAACTTCCAAAGCAATGAGATGAATCCACTGATTCATTTCTATGCACACATGCAGAAAAGAGGTTGCACAAATGTCAAATTCCAAAAGAAGAGGTGAGCAATATGGACTAATACAGGTGTTTGGCATGAGTAAACAAGCTGTCATTATTGCAGTGGCACTTCACTTGTAAATGAACATAGAAATGATGTAGTGTATGTAAAGAATGACACTTTTAACACAGTTTAACCGTTATATGTTCAAATGCAGTTACGGTTATACTATTGACACAGAAGTTGAATGTAATCTAGATGTCTAAAACACTTGAAAGGATGAGTTCCAAGAATTTGGGAAATGTGTTTATTTGGATTCTTGCCAAGAGCTGATGACACGATTGATCACACTTTGGTCTATACAGTAAATATGCCGATTCTGTTGGCAGCCGATTAGCTTATCTTACCATACTGGAGAAGGGTATAACCTGCTCCAAAGGTAAACACCTACCAGCACCTATAAAGCTAAATAAATAACGCTTTATTTTATGTTTGTTTAATCTGTACAAAAACCAAAGTGTAAAAACAACGCATTGTGATTTTACAGGCAGGGTTTCGTGGCCGAGCGCAGTGACTGTCCAAGGAAAAATCTAAGACCAAACCCCCTGTAAAAATCACAACATGTTGTTTGCTTCATATTTTAAGCAGATTCACAAAATTTGTCAAAATGTCTCTTTTACATTTAAACCAACTTTAACTGCGGTTTATAAGATACATATGCATCTTTTCACCCGCAAATCGTCAAAACCATGCAAACTGCACTGTAGCTTTGGAAAAAAACAAAAAGAAGCCTCTGCCCCACGAAAATCATTTTCATTTAGTGTAATTGAAAATGAAATTCTTACGCTCCACAAAAAAAAAGAATTATATGTGAATAATTATAATTTAGCAAAAAGGCCAACTAGGACTTTGCTCCTCTGAAAATATTAAGGCAGCATAGCATTAGCATAGCAAACCCCAACCTCCTCGATATGCACAATATTTTTGGTGATTCGTGATTCTTCCAGGTACTGTATACCCTCATTAGTGGATGTTTTTTTGACAGCTCTCTCTGTTTTCCACCAAATGTAATTGTGTAACTACTTGTGATGCCTTGATGTTAAGTGTCTCTGTTTTTTTTTTTATTTCAGAACTGCGTTTTGAGACAGAACATTCACTTTCATATAGGCTCCCATCATCTGTCTAAGAGGCTGATTTCTGACCATGATCACATTTTCACAGTCAATGACACTGCATTTACCTCTACTATTCCACTTCATTAACGGCTGGCAGATTTGTCTGCAGTGGAGAAACTCAACTTCAAACGCAATTTCAAGTATAAGAAATAGAAACTTCATTAAGCCTGGTAAGGCATTCAGCTGATGATCTGATGTCAGTGGACTATGACACCTCTGTCTTTGATAAAGGTTAGTGCCCATGAAAAGCTACAAAGAAGCCACATTTAATCCTCTCTTTGTAACTGTTCTCATACCAAAGCTTCCCATACCATCTCTTAAAAAAACCAAAAACCTTTGTATTAACATTCTCTTGTGCTCTTGCAAAGGCCAGGGGGTTTTGGTGATACATTCCTATTCAACTTAGCTAAGACAATACCCCAGATAGCTCACCATTCCCTGGATTCCAAGCCTGTCTTTGGAATAAAGGAAGCATTTTTCTTCTCCGTCTCTCACTCTCTTTTCCTGTGTGGTTGTGTAAAAGAGCTTACGACGGGCTTTAGGGAATTTCTTTGATGCCATAGTAGTTGTTGGACCCAAAGGCTATACCTTCAAAGCCCGTTTAAATAACACGCTAATCGGCAGAAATCCGTTCAAGAGATTATCATGCAGAGAGTGAAGCACACTCTTGTGCAGACAAAGTCCTAGACGCGCACATGCACTGTGACATGTAAACAAACACAGACACAATGGGTGACGATTGGAAATATCCTTTTTCTTTGAAAGCGAAGAAAATAGATCTCATTAACAGCTTGAGTCTAAAACTGGAACAAGCCTTTCGTACTGCTCAAGACTCACTTTAAAGCGCTGCTACCGGCTCACCACGACATTGAGAACGTGTCACCAGGTGCAATGCGTGTGAGCTATGGCGCACCTGCACACACACAAAGCCCTTCACTTTACATTTAAGTCAATGTGGGATATCAATAATTAACTGCTGCAGTGATTACCCATGTTTAAATGGGCCTACTTGTCCTCATTTAACTACCCTGCATGGCATGAGGGATTGCAGGAGCCAACTGGCTGAAAAAAATAAGCAGAGCAAACAAAGAGATAAGGGCTAGTAAACATGTCACCAGCACATAATTAACCAGACTACCAGTATGCGCTATAAAATCTCACTCGAGTTGAGCAGGCATCGTCTCATTCCCCTCTCCAAACGAGCCCAGAATCTCCTTAATACCCACATGAATTGTGTGCCAGATACAATGAAATCCTTTTTATTAATTCTCCTTACTTCCTTTTAAGTCAGTAGACCTATATTTTTAGGTTGCCATGGCAGCAGGAACTTGGGAAAAAAAGCCCCACTTGTTCAGAGAAGAGATACATCATAGCATTATTTTTTCTTAATTCCCCCTTGCCCCACTAGTCTACGTCTGCAAAAAAAAGTTATTTGATTTAATTTTATTTTGTGCTCCGTAAACGGTTCTTAGTGTAAACTGCAGATTTAATCAATTGGAATTTTCAACAACTGATGTATCCAACTTTGAAAAGCACCACTCAGGAAAATGTTGGTGACAGAACTTCACTTGGTATTTATACACAGAATAATGAGCCCTGATCCCTGATCTGCACGACTAGTGGTTAATTCACTCAGGACAACTACATCAAATACTTTGCTTGCAATAGTTATTGTTTGGCGGTGTGGCTTTGTTCTGGGACCCACTGCCTCTCCATGTGCCTTCGTGCATACATGGAAAGCCCAAGGCAGAGAGCAGCAGCAGCAGCAGCAAAGACCCCCGGGTACAGAACAGAGCTGCATCAATAAATACAGAAATACATTGATTGGTCAGGAAAAGCCTCAAAGGAGGAGCTGGGGTGGCAGTTGGTTACAAGCGGCTTGCAGAGAAAGCAGCAAGGGTAGGCAGGCTAGAGCGGCTTAACTAAGGCTCCTTGTATGGCTTTGCCAATGAATGCTAGGAGGGAAATCAGCTGAGCTGTCAGCTTATGTAGGCTTCACATGACATGGGCTCCTATCAGCTGATGCACTATGATTGTGATCTGAGCTTGAATTTGTTGCCTGCCTGAACTTACACTATGCCTGATTTCTGGCTATTAATTGACATGAATATAAACATAATCATTTCTACATAATTGATGATTTTCAGCTGACTGTCATCAGCCATAAGCAGCCCTGCCAAACTTAACCTCCTGCGAGGGAGGAAGCATTAGTCCAGTGACCTTCATGCTTGTTCCACAGCCTCAAGAGCTCTGCTGTCAATATGAGCGCACCCTGGATCAATAGCTGTATTGTGAACTTTGTAACCCCTGTACAACTGGCAAGACCAGTGAAGGATGAAACAGGAGACACACAAGAGAAACACCACTAGTAAACAAAGATCGAAGCAAACACTCAGCTCTTTAAATTTAATTTTCTAAATATCATAATTGACAATGCTGGGTCTTCCAGCTGAGGTAATAATTTGTTTCCCTGCAGCTTTAGGAGAAATTAACTTAATTCTTTCCAAGCTGGTTTATTCTAGCAGACGAAGACATCCAAATTAAAGTGTACCTTGCTAACTTGTTTTGATCTAAAAAAAAAACAGTTCTTTGTCTGTATGTACAAGATGATTGTGTGTCATCACAACTAGTCTGAAAGCCAATCATGTTGGAGTATGTCACTTACACGTAAGTGTGATGTGGAAACCTCTCTCGACTTTTTGCGACATATGAGACACCTCATATATGTGTGCGTGTTGCTCACAGGAAGTCAGCTTGGCCAGAAAGTCTCCAATACTCATTCTTTCAACTCTGACTAAACAAAATGTCCTTAAGAAAATGTCCTAAATTTATTGTCGAATGTGCCCCAGCGAGCAACTTTCATAGCAATGAATGGGGTGGCATCTTAGAATCTGGTCTCCAGCCCATGGGAAAATCCCTACAAGTCTCAACTTATCTTTCCAAAACCAGTGTTTTATTATGTCTTAAAACATGTTTGGGATTTTTCAAATTTCAAACAAGCAAATCTTTATTCACATACATTTGCATGTGTGGATGCACAACTAAATTTTCCTAGTATTTACTCACGGATGTTGTCGGTGTTCTCTTGCACGATGTCCGTCTTCAGCAGGTTATCGGCCAGGACAAAGGCCCCTTGCTCCACCGTGTCCAGCAGCATGGTGGCAGCCCTCAGCTGCTCGCCTGTGCTCAGCTCCCCCCACGCTGCCTGGGCGTGCGGCTGCAGCAAATTGTTGACCGTCTCCACCATGGCCTGGGAAGTCCAAATCATTGATTTAGTGAAAAGAAGCTAAGCTGGCCTGGGACTACTGTTGTTCTGAAATGGTGATTTGGTAAATGGAATGAAATGAGTGAAGGAGGACCATAGAGAGGTCAGCACTGACAAATATCACATCAGCCCCCCTACCGTTTTTCATTTGAATTGTTCCATAATAATCTTTCTACTGATCAATATCATGACCCTATTTCCAATTAATTTAAAAGTTACGCTTTAGGACATGGATCGTCAACTAGTAGCAACAACACCTGAATCTGTAATGACACTGGATATGTTGTTAGATTCCTTTTGTTACCGTTTCCATGTAAAATTAATCATGTAGATGAATCAGAGCCAAAGCTTACACGACTAGAGGCCAATTCTTACATGTCTTGAGGCTAGAGTCTTTAATTGGTGTGATTAATGTTCTCCCATGCAGACAATCCCAAAACAGAAAAGAAACACCAAAACATTGAGACATTCCAATGGACGTACAAAGTATTTGCTGGTAGCAACTTTCTGCACCTATTCAGCTCACATCTTTCCTGCATGTTGATAGCAGAGAACAACCACTGTGCCTTCTTTAATCGCCCCACAACAGTGCTGAAGCTAGCAAGCAAGGAAGAGACAAGAACATTCTCAAGACAAAATGAAAAATTAAGAGCCATTAAAGATTTAAAAATGCCAATGGCAAGATTTATGAATGGAATACTAATTGGTCAAGCAAAGCAATCCATTCCCCTTGCCACTGCTTCGAAGTGCGAAGCGCAATGGGCCCGACTGCCCTTACAGTACATTAGGTGGTCAGAGGCATAGTTATTAGAAATGCCCTGTACTACTAATAAAAGAAACACATCCACCCTTCAAAAGGAAATATTTCTGATAAAAGTTTGCTTCAAATTCTGATACTCCCTCTGCACTTCTTCAAAAGCCGGTTTACACACATCCTGAAGATGGAAGCTATGATGTATGTTAAAAACAGGGGGCTGTCACACTGCAGAACTTCTCTCTGAACTTTACTCAGATCCCCCTTTTGATCAGTGGATTATGAAAGGGAATAAGAGTTTTAGTATGACTCAGAAACAGCACGGGGATAAAGCCAAAGGCGATAACAGAAATCATGTGCTGTAGTGTATCAAATGAAATCCTGATCAAAAAAAATACAAAGCATGCAAGTGTATAAGTGTAATGGACCCCCCAATTACCTAATAATGTTAAGTTGTATGTTTCAAATCACTGTGATAGCAATAGGAGACGGAGGACTGATTGTGTTCAACTCGCTGGCGCTGGATGAGAATTTCAAATAGCACCAGCTGGCTTTTCCTCATTCAAAACATACCCCCCCACACATTAAGCCACCCACGACCAGAGACAACCACACACACACACACACACACACACACACACACACACCCCCACACATGCACAGCGAAAGACTGACGCAAGAGTGAACGCACACCTCTGCACCTGCTAGTATACAAAAACACAGACAAACTCGCAGGCACATGCACAAACCACAGTAAGACAGCAACACGTACACATGCACAGGCAGTCTACCAACTTTGATGTAATCATTCATTATCTGCAGCCAATCTCCAATCACACCTTTTGACATTCAGCTAGAGGCAGAGGTTGATTCACTCTCAATTAAGAAGCTCTTTTTCTTCAGGCACTGACATTTCTTTTACCTTTGTTCAACCCCTGTAAGATTCTTTTTTTCTGCACTTCTTAAAACACTGAAATTACGGCTCTTCAGGGAAAGGATTGATGGACCTGCATAGGAGGCTGTCTCGCTTTTTCGCATGCAGAAGAGACGTACAAAAAAAAAGTACAAGGGGAAGGAAAAGCCCACCTCCCAAAGCCTGAGGGATGGGTCAGAAGCTTGAGGAGGAGGGAATAAGCAAGCCTGAATAGAACAATCGAGGGCAGAGTATGCAGTATGTAACAAAAGTTAATATTGGAATAAAGATCTGCTTTCTTCCTGGCCCCTCAGGCATTCATAAAACCGTCTGAAGAAAAATAATTAAGCTGACATTCACTCATGGTGCATTATTTGGACATGTGATAGACTAAATCACTGTGACGCTAGTTATTCATTACTGTTATTAATATGCACATAGCATGCCAATTTCCCCTCATTCAAACCAGAGACTGAACTCCTGATGTAGAGACTGTAGAGTATTGTCTCCTTGTTAAAAGGCAGGTATGCACAGCATGCTTTACTGATGAGACAATTACCTCACTAAAAAAATGTAATGCAAAAGATGTCTCCTTTCATTATCAACAATAGGAAGTGTGTCTTAAAACTACTTGTTGCCAGTAACTGGTGTTGCAGTCTGATAAGAGAAACGTGGATTACGTGTCAGCCGAATAGTGTGGAAGAAACTTCCAAAGCGAACCAGGACAATTAAGAAAGGTAACTTTGAAAGGTCGTACTGAGTGAAAAATGTCTTTTATGTGTTATTACCTTGTGTTTTGTTCAGCTATCTGTGTGTGACAAACAGCCCAGGAGCTATCATTAAGGACATTGTCCTTCATACTTTTTTTTCCTGGGATTTTTAGGGGTTTTACATTCTACATAGGGTGAGAATCTTCAAAGTGTCAAGTCTTGAAGAAAATAATGACATTTTGGGAAGACAGACGAGAAAATTAACGTATGGTAAATAAGATACAGCCAGCAGCTGGTTAGCTTAGATAGCACAGTTTATCTAAGCACAGACTGGTGAGCTTTAAAGGGGCTGGTAGGCATATTTTGTTACATTTGGACAAAGCCAGGCTAGCTGGTTTGCCCCTTATAGTGGTTATGCTAAGTTAAGCTAACTGGCTGCTGGTGATAGCTTCATATTTACCATTCAGACATGAGAGCTGTATCTTTAAGGACACATTTTATAGCTCAGCAACAACAACAAAACAACTTTTGTTGTTTCAAAAACAATCCATTAAAACAGTTTTACAAGCCAATCCAGCAGGGAATCCTGCCAAACCAAGAAGGAGCATAATCCATTAATTTATCTAAAAACATGAAAATCATCCAAGCTTTGGATATACAGTGAATTCTACTGCTTTTTTTAAAGGCTGATACCAATCTTTTTTTGTAAATCTCAGTATTTTCTAAATCCCAGCTATGGCTATGTTACCAAATACATGTCAAAATTGCACATTTACATGTTTTTACATCAAAGCCACCTCTTCCTCTTAAGTGTCAAAATATTTTTGCTGACAGACTTTGCACCCAGGGTTGTATGTAATATTTCTGTCCAATAAAATATCATCATAGATTTTGGCTTGATTCAACCAACCACTCCTACCAAATATACTGAACCAAATTCTAAAAGCAACGCTTTTATTTTTGCCCCCATTCATCATGAGCTGAACTCAAAGATCAAAGACTTTCTCGATGTACACAAAAGGCCTATTCCTCTCAAATATTGTTCACAAAAAAAGTGTTTTCGAGTGGCCTTTTATTGTGGCCAGCTTAAGGTACACCTGTGCAATACCCATGCTGTCTGATCAGCATCTTGATAGATATCAACCCTGTGAGGTGGATTATCTCGGCAAAAGAGAAGTGCTCACTTACAGAGAATGACAGATTTGTGAACAATATTTGAGAGAAATAAGCCTTTTGTGTACATAGAGAAAGTCTTAGATCTCTGAGTTCAGCTCATGATGAATGGGGGCCAAAACAAAAGTGCTGCATTTATAATTTTGAGGCAGAGTCGCAGTTTAACACACTTCTCTGCTCCTCCATTTCAGGAGTTACTTAGTGAAAATCCTATAGTGACGGTGTCTGTCCCCCGACCATCGAAATTATTTAAAAAGGTAAATAGAAGAGGAGCTGTGCATAAAAACCTCATAAAAATTAAAACCACAAGAGCAATAGTGCAAATGAATAGGAGAGTTAAATGTGGACTCTTAAACATCAGATCTCTCTCATCTAAAGGTGTACTAGTAAATTAACTAATATCAGATTATGATATTGATTTATTTTGTCTTACTGAAACCTGGCTGGGTGATGGAGAATATGTTAGCCTAAATGAATCCACCCCTCCCCCAGTCATATTAATACTCACATTCCTCGAGGCACAGGCCGAGGAGGTGGAGTTGCAGCTATCTTCGACTCTAGCCTACTAATCAGCTCTAAACCTAAACCAAACTATAACTCATTTGAAAGTCTTGTTCTTAGTCTTTCGCACCCAAGTTGGAAATCACTGCAACCAATTCTCTTCGTTATAGTGTACCGAGCACCTGGCCCGTATTCTGAATTCTTATCTGAATTTGCAGAGTTTTTGTTATTATTGTAGGGGATTTTAATATTCATGTGGATGTTGAGAATGACAGCTTTAGTACTGCGTTTATCTCTCTGTTAGATTCCATCGGCTTCTCTCAGAGTGTTCATGAACCGACTCACTGTTTTAACCACACCCTCGACCTTGTTTTGGTGTATGGTATTGAAATTGAACATTTAGTGGTGTTCCCACAGAATCCCTCTATGTCCGACCACTGTTTGATAACTTTTGAGTTTGTATTGCTGAACTACTCGCCATTGGGCAAAAATTTCTATACAAGATGTCTGTCTGATAGTGCTGTAGCTAAATTTAAGGATGCGATTCCATCAGCTCTAAATACATTATCTAGTCACAAAGTAACGGAGGACTCCTATGCTAGTTTCAGTCCCTCCCAAATCGATCATCTTGTTGATAGTGCTGCAGGCTCGCTGCGAATGACACTGGACTCTGTAGCCCCTCTAAAAAAGAAAATACTAAAACAAAGACGGTTAGCTCCATGGTATAATACTGAAACTCGCAAATTAAAGCAAATATCGCGGAAACTTGAGAGGAATTGGCGTTCCACCAAAGTGGAAAATTCTCGTTTAATTTGGCAAGATAGTCTTAAAACTTATAGGAAGGCCCTCCGTAATGCTAGAGCAGCATACTACTCGTCATTAATAGAGGAAAATAGGAACAACCCAAAGTTTCTTTTCAGCACTGTAGCCAGGC